ATCTCTACCTTTGATCCAGAGCACATGCATGGGAGGAACAATGCTGATGTCTGCCGTCTCCTGGAAGGAAAGAAAAAGCATCCGAGAGCACAATGGCTGTGATGCTTCACAAGCCTCACATTACTAAATAATAACAACAGTTTATTTAAACAAGGTTTAAATATCTTAATGGACTACTCACTCACTAACACATCTTCTAATCTGCGTCTCCTTGGTAAGGTCCACCACCAGTCGCCAGGCAAGAGGGTAGACACCAGCTCTGCAGACAGACCATCACAGAGATACTCAGACCTTCATCAGGGTTGGAGTTAGGCTGCTCCTCCTCACCCTCCTACCTTTCCACCCCCTCCTCCTCTTTAATATTAAAAAGCACAAAAACTAAACTTATGACTTAAAATTTCAGCCTAAAATGCTGTTATATAAATGGTTTAGTTTTAGCTTTTTGTCTATGGAAATCCCCCACAGCCAAATAAAAAAATCGTCATCTCCTCTTCCAAATAGTATTTTTTAGATTAGCATTCAAATATCTCAATAAATACTGAATAAAGGCCGACCACAAGCAAGATAGCACAAGACAATCGCCAGTCAAAAGGGACTGGCTGAAGCACATGCTTATTGTGCCAACCCTTCTAAGGTAAAAACATTTAGCATGCAGCTCATTTACATAAGGCTCAAAGCAAAAGTGTAAAGCAAAACATACAAACAAAACAAAACAAGAAAACAGAATGAAATAATAGTAAAACCTTCCACCTTAGAAAAGTAAATTCATTGAATTAATTTTCATAACAATAAGCAATGCAAAGCAAGAGTTTTAATATCATTATTTTTCCTCTTTTCTTTATCTAGTTTTAAACATGGATCATGAATTACACCTTTTTAAATCTCTGTCATAGCTGTTTGACATGTGAACTCATCTGTTTATTTGTTTTTTAATAATCTGTCCCCTTAAGTCATAATGACTGTCTCCGACTTCAAACAGCTTCTGGGTGCTGCAGCAAAGCACATTATTTGTGCTTTATACATTATCTGTGCCATTTTGTACTTGACTAAATCATAAAACGTCAGGGTATTCAAATTAAAGAGCAAGTCACCCCCTACACGAAACTTACTTCACTCCCACTTCGTGTTTGAAAAATGCAACAAATGCTGTTGCCTGGCAGACCGAGAGGGCGGAGCCGCTAACAAATATACACACACAGGCTCCTGACAACACTGTGACATCATAATGTACCAGTTAACATCATAGCATACCTCTTAGCCAATAGTGGTGGCAGATTTAAATTCAAATACAGTACAGAGTTCTTACCTGAAGACGGCGCAACACTGACGGTTTTAGGCAGAACATTTAAATTTTAACTACGATACATTGAAGTGCAAAATTAATAACTGCACCTGTCTACAGCACAATTAGACACTCGTTTATGTAGTTTATCAGCAAAAAGAAGTTGATTTTGGGGTGACTTGCTCTTTAATAAACAAAATGCTAGTTGGTTCTATGTAGTTAGATATATTTATAATTCTTATAGCTTTTTTGTAACAAAACGGAGAAGAGTATTGGTGTTATATGCTTAGCCCCATACCTCTAGACAGTAAGGCATGTATGGAAGCAACAGAGAACATTTAAGTGTGTGTAATGTTTTCTTGGTCAGGACATGCTTTGTTTTGTAAAAAATGACTTCTGACATTTTTTCATGTGATTTATGAGACTTCCTGTTAAGCTTATAATCAATTTTCGCTATAAGAACTGTATTTTCGTATAAGGTTTCAATTTCAGTTCCATTAATCCTGATTTTAGACACATTTTTTGTTTGTCTGTGCCAAAAATAACAATTTTTTGTTTATATTTAACAATAACTTGTTTATATCAAACAAATTTTTTAATGTTTAATGCTTTTTTCACTGTAGTCAGGAGCTGTTCCATGTTTTTACCTGAGCAATACAGAGCTTCATTAGCAAACAATACACATTTAAACTATTCGGAAACATTGCATATATCATTTATTTATAATGTGAATAATTTAGGGCCAAGCATTGAGCCCTGAGGAATGCCACAAGCTATATTCAACTGATTAGATTTTTCATTATTGATTTCAACATTCTGATATAACTTTTCATCCAGTCGTTCAATGTTAAAGGTGTAGGAAACTCGTTTATTCAATGCATTTGCAGTGGTCTCTGGTAGGAATGAATGCCTCGCAAGCTGTACCTGGGACAAAATTTTTTGTTGTGAAGCGCCTTGGGGATTTGTAGAACCCTAACAAGGCACTTCACAAAAACAGGCCATCATGAGTCAAGAGGGGTGAGTCCATGAATGTTATGGATCTTATCTCACAACAGAACACGTTTTGGCAGCATGGAACCACTCTTTTTTGGAACTAAAACAACTACTAACCTGCAACAACTCCATCAGCCGCCCGCAGTCACCTGGGGCTATCTCCCCGACCGTACAAGTTCAAAGGGGACTACAGCCTTTGCACATCACCCAGAAGTGTAAACAACTGGCCTTGTCGAGATGACTCTGTGCCAGCTGGATCTCAGAGAACTCCCATCACACGGGTACCGTGGTCTCTGCACTCTGGCGTTGGATGGGTTATGATTAATCTGATAACTTGATAACATCACTAAATGCTGCCAGATTATTCTTATTATCCCAGACATCACATTTTTTTCTAAGACACTTATTTGACTCTTAATAACATCCAAGGTCATGTTTCATCAGAGTTGGTTGTTGGCTTAGTTGATTTTACCTTGAATAATCATGCATCTATTAATTCTGTAAAATCATGAGTCATAGAAATATAGTAACACATTTATTTTAATAAACAATATTTTTGCTTCTGTGTTAAATTAGTGGTTGGTGTTGGTTCCCTGCCCAAATGACCTATTTCCAGATTCAAATGAAAGGTTCAATAATATGAATGATTCTTATGGAACTTTATATCTTGTTGAATATGTTCATATCTTATTGTCAGTTTATTAATTGTGACCACTTACAAAACATTACAATGAACTGAAACATGGTAGAAAATGTTAGGATCATTTATTTTTAACCATTTTTGTTTATTTAAATTGTTAATGGTCTATATTTGTATAGAACCTTCTTAGGGTTCTACAACCCCCCAAGGCGCTTCACAACAGTCATTCACCCAGTCACACGCTGGTGATGATAAGCTATGGTGACAGAGGCGAGGCCTGTTGAACACCATCAGCAGACAAGGTGGGTATAGTGTCTTACCCAAGGACACAGCAGTATTCTCTGGAGGGAGCCAGGATCAAACGTACAACCTTCAGATTACTGGACAACCCGCTGTACCTCCAGAGAATACTGCTGTCCCAAACGTCGATTGTTAAACCAAACGTCAAGGGCGAAACCCTTCTATAATAATATGTTATGTGCTTCCATAATTGATCACAACACCAGACTTTTAAACACAGCTCCTCTGAGAGGATGTGAGCCCTTTCAGGGTTTGTAGTTTGCCTGATTTGTTTTATATAAATATATCTGTCCCTAGATTAGATCTCTTCACAGACTTGTTTCATTAGAATAAATCTGATCTCTGGGCTTCTTGCTGTGTTTTGTATTCAGGCAGCACCGATCCATCAGGCCTCCTTGGAGCTGGAGAGGTTCAGACTACTTCAGTGTTCCACTCCAGTTAATGGGGTTGAGGTGCAGCAGCTCTCTCTCTTTCAGGGCCTCCTGGGAACGTGTTTGCGCTCTGTCCCTCCAGCTCCGTTCCATTAGCTATGCACATAAAGACAAACAACCCAGAGACGAGGAAATAAGCCCCAGTCGCTCTGCTGCAACCTGAGATCATGCTTCAGGAAGCATTTCCAGGACCCTTTAGGACACAGAAAGCATTAATTTCAGATGCATTATGTATATGTGGGGCTGTACCCGCTTGTTCTCATGTCTGTAGGCTGTCAATGCTTTGCTGTGCTGAATGTTCTGCTGTTTTTCACTGGACAGAGCGAGTCGGTCCACCTCTAGGAGATGCTCAGCTTCATTCGCTTTACTGATTCGTTGCAGCTTCACTTGTGCGCTCTTCTCCTCCATCTGCCTCTTTAGCAGCTTTCGTATCTCCTTCCTGCAGATAAAGCAGTCTCTTAAATGAGGTGGAAGGCCTGACCAGGGCAGGGTGACAGCTTTACCTGTACTCTTCTCTCTCTGTAGCGGTTCCATAAAAAGGTTTTCTCCACACCTGATGACACCTGACACATAAAATGCATCTCATTTCAACTCTGACATTTAAAAGCAAAGGTAATATTCCTTCACACCTGAGCAGTTTTCACCTGTAGAGCTCTTTTCTTTGCATCATTAGCGCCCTCTGGTGGTTGTAGCGGTGAACAGCAGGTGCTTGGGGACCAGATGTGGGTGCAAAGGGTTCAGTCTTGGGATGCTCTTTAAGGAGCAGATTCGTGGATTACAGCTTGATGTTCTGAGTCTGCACATCAAGCATAAACCAACCGGACCTTCTACTACTGCTCACCTGATTGGTTCTCCACAGGCAGGACGGATCTGAGAAGATGGCTGAGGTGATTGGAGGGAGCCTGAAGTTGTGACTCTGTCTGACAGGAGGCAAGTCACCAGGAGAACACGTAGATGTGGAAGCTTGTGAGAGGGTCGCTGAAGAAGATGCACGCAGAAATAAAGTATTTTCTATAAAAAATTAAACATTTTTTCTTACATGGTCGTATCTTGCAGTGTTGTGTTCAAACTCCAGAATCCTGAGTCTGCAGGTATCTAAATCAAATCTGAATCTTAGAAAAAGATCAACATATCTGCAGAGCCACTAGTTATAGATTAAACCCCGACAAGCCAGTGCATGAACTCGGTGTTTAGCAGTGGCAACGGTTGCCTTGGGAGTCTGGTTATCCCCCATAATAAAAGAAAGCTGCTGAAAAGATCATCAGCCTGTGACAATAGACCAACCAGCTACAGACAGAGGACATGTCTACATGTTCTCATGGAGAAAAACAACAAAATGATTGTGACTCGTGAATTATTAGGACCTTTAAAATGTTTTATTAAACACAAGTACAAGTAAACAAATCGGGTTAAATAGTTTTACAGTGAATAAATGAGTCTAAAACCTTTGGTCCATCATCACGCTGGGAACTCAGATTCCCAGTGCTTCATGGTTCTCCCACAGCCAGGCGTGATATTTGTTCAACATGTGATCTTCAGGGGTCACCTTGAACATAAAATATTGATTTCAAGATTAGTTTTGATCAAGATGAAGTTATAGTTAGTCTCATTAGATATGCACCTGTCTCCACTCTTCAACACAGAAGATCCTGTAGGAGTCGTTGCCATACTTGCCGATGCCATGCAGCTCAATAGGATAACGCCACTGTTTGTTCAGATATTCATCTGCAGGAGAGAAGAGAGCTAAAAACATGCACGCGTCACAGGGTAGAAGCACCAGAAGTGGACAACGTAAACCAACAACACACACCTGAGAATCGGATGATTGTTTTGGCCCGGAGTTCATACAGCCCAAGTGGCCTCATGAGGTCAGACATGGGCTTCCAGTCGGCCTCCCTGGCCACCTCCGCTGATGGGTAGCGCTCATAGAACTGCCATAGCACTGGAATGGCCATCTTACCTGTAATAATTAAATGCTTTGGTACCGACTCAAGTTCATCACTCAGAAGGTGGAAACGTGCTGCGGTGCAGTCCTACCGCTGGTCTTATTCAGAAAAATAGTGGCAACCAGGAGCTTCCAAGGGTCATGGAAAAGGGTTTCCTGTATGAGGTTGAAGGGAGATCGAGGGGGTGTCCATTTCCTAAAAGCCTTTCTCCTGGGTGGGCTGAGTCCTGAGTAGAGAAAATAAACATTTCTCTAAACAACAAACATAACTGACTCTGATATGAGCGACTTTCTAAACTCAAATGGCTTCTTTAAACTATACCTTCTCGGAGAGGTTTCTTGCTAAAATAAGGGCTTGTTCTCCACTTGTTCTCCAAACTCTTAGACTCTATAATCAGACAGCAAGCTTTTAATAAACCAATCCGTCACAAAGACATTAGGAGGTTTTCAAAAACACAACCTGAACTTAAATCTGTGACTTATTTAAATATTGTTGCAGACACAAACAAAAGTAATGTTTTCACTGACAATCTCTGTATTTGTGATGGTCAATCGTGTAATCCAACAAATTGTGGAGATCTTTGTACGGTGCAGCTCCTGGATGGGTCTAAGATATCCACATCCTTATATCTCGTCTCTACCTCGTCCTCTTTGTTGGTTAAGCTAAAGTCAGGGTGCTTTTCTGACAGCTTCTAGGATCCTTTTTACATGTTTGAGTCTGCGGCGGACTCTTCCTGGGCAGCTTTCCCAGCTCATGCAGCAGGAAGTTAACCCACTCTAAGAGCAGCATCATGCATCTCAGTAGGAGACCAAAAATTCTAATCATTCAGTAAAAGTTTTGGTTTTGTTCTGATGAAATAATCACAGTTCTCTCTGCAGATGCCAAAGACTCAGTTGGTTCTAATGGATATGATCTACCCTTGCTTGAAGAGACGCCATTTTTCCTGTATGAACCTTTAATGCATACTGTCAACATCCTGCTCATTACCAATTCATCTGCAAGAAACTTTCAGAAAAGGGAAACTTGTATATTCTTCAATGTTTTCTTTCCTTCCAATTGTACTGGTCTGCAGGCTTTTCTGGAGCCAGCCTTGAACCTGATCAGGCACATTAGGCTTCTAATGCGTTGGTGTCTGAAGAACTGGAGCCCTATCATGGCCTTTTAGTAAAGAAATCAGTTTTCGTCAGTTATCGTTTTGTCAAACTGATGCATTGTTTATTCTTCTTGAAACTAAATTAGAAGACGAACTTGAAATCTAAAATGAAATATGTTATTAGTGCAACTGGTATTTTCATCATAATAAAGTACAAATTCTGATTCATAAGGTCTTCTTATGGCGTCGGACTGTGTGGATAACACTTACTATTCCTGGGTGTGCTGCTCCTGGTGATGCTGTCAGGTAACAACACCTCCGTCTCCTCTTCCTCGTGACTGTCAGCATCACCCGCCACTTCAGAATTAGACTTGTCACCTTCGCTGTGATTCGGTGTAACATCTGTGTCTGGTGCACTCTCGCCATCATTCATGCTCTCAGCTTCAGCATTCAGAGCTAGGGCTGAAGGCTGCAGCTCTGCCAGTTTGTTTTCGTGAAGAGGGAAGGAGTTTTGTTGATTTCTGGCAGGAGCAAGTCTGAGTATCTTGTCTCTCAGCAGCCCTGTTCTCTGATTGCTCCAATGTGCATCATCCACTAACTGTGATGGTGCAACATGTGAGCAGCTCTGCACAGACTCTTTACGTTTATCTTCGCAAACCTTTTCTATATCTGTAGAGATCTCTGGAAAATTATTGCACAACAAGTCATTCTCTACAATCTTTACTACAGTGTCCTTAGCTTTACTTCTGTAGGAGGAAGAGTGTCTTTTAGATTTACGTGAGGGAGTGTTCAGATATTCATCAATCTTCTCCTTACACCCACCTGCTCCCTTTTGCTCCCCTCTCTTCTGCTTTTCTTCAGAATGAAGTGATGATGAGCTAGGTAACTCATCTCTGGATGTAGTAAAATCAAAAAAGTTCATGTCCAGGTTTACTCCTCCACCTTTTAACAGGAATGCATGCAAGGATGCTCTTGAGCGGAATTTCTGCCCTGCAGGACTTAAATAACAGAAACATTATTTAGACATGATCTAGGATTAAATATCAGGGTGGAGAAAAAATAAGATACCTTGTTATGTAAACATCCAATTTTCCTGCTGTCTTGCCTGTTCTTCTCTGCCTCACTTCTCTAATCCACCCATGGGGCATTGGGTCACACGGTTCCTCCTTGGGGCTTTTAACATCCATTCTGCCGCTGAGCTCCTTTTCACAGTATGATGCACTTAATATATAGTTGAGTCAATGATGAAATTTGGGTTGTAGAAGAGCCGCGTTTCTTGTCATCTTTGCCTTTAATTTGCAGCAGTAACACATACAGCAGATAAAAAAACTCACCGTGTTATTTAGAAAGTATCACCAGCCACCATTGATATTAGTTTATTTAGCCAAATAGGAGTCTGTAGTGTGCATACTGCTTGTTTCCCGATGTAAACATTTGAGCGGAACTAGTTTTGCAGGCATGCAGGAAGTGGATCCGCTCCTTTTCTAGCGGGTTAGCGGGTTGGAAGTCCTGACGGGCGAAGATGATATACGTGCATTAGAAATATATATCTAACAGGAATAAATACGCTTTCTGTTCATTGTGGGGGATGCGAGGAGATGATGCTACTTCTGTCTTGTACTTCTGGGTTCTGCGTGGGGTGGGTTTTACAAACTCCGCCTACGCGGAGCAACTCTACGGTAGCCGGCAATTTAATGGTGCTGACCTACAAATCACCAGACGTGCTGCATTTGTGTCCCAACGAAAATCGGACCTAGCGGCAAAACCTTTGCTACTCTTTAATCGGGCCAACACTACGAGCGAAGAACAACACATTTTTCTGCATTGGATGTCTTCTAACACTGTATGAATATGTTCACCAACAGGGCTTGTATGTTACTGCGTGCGACTAATTATTAATACGATGGAAGCCGATAAAATATCAAATAAGTTTATTTATTTAACATTTAATGTTATATTTAGCCTGGATTATTGAGTATTGAGGTCGTTACTTTTCAGAATTCCCACATTTTGAACTGTATTTCTAAATTTCAATGTTTTTTTATATTTTGTTTGGTTGGTATTTGGTTATTTTTTCTACATGAATCCAAGAAATCCCGACCTCTGAGAAGATCTGGAACAAACCACGAGTTTGCGCAGTGTGACCAAATCCTTCCATTGAAGAAAAAAAAAGACGAGCTGTAATAGCTACTTGTTGATTCAAAAATATTTTGAACGATGTGCAATTATAGGTGAAGATGAGGGCGAATCACTCATGGACAGCTTCAGTTCGTGAACGGTAAGTGGTGGCAAGAGTATTATTGTTATCCTTCAGATAAAGCTAGCTCATTAGCTGGGTAGCAACCTAGCAACGGTGGTTGCTATGTAAACTAGAGGAAGCCTGCTAACACTTAGCCCTCCAGCCATTCTTTTTTTTAATTTAAAAAAATATGTATTTTATCTCGCTGTATATTAGTTATAAAACATATTTTTTCTAATAATGTAACGCGACCTCTCGGGTCGGGTGAAACGTTACTGTTAAGTAAGCTAGCTTATGATGTTTCGACTCACTTGACCGCAGTTCTTCGATGCTACAACTAGTATATGAAACATTTTTACCGGATTATGCTGCCAGTGTTTATTTACAGAAAGCTTTGTGTTTGTGGAATATTAAAAAAATCGTAAGATTATTGTTTTAATTGTTTTTGTTGTGTGGTCCTCCTAGCCACCAGCTTCGACTCTAACAGCGTCTAACTTGTTCTTTTATTATTTTTGATCAGTCTGATTCTGCTTGTGAATCTGCAAAAACTTTTTTGACCAAGGGGATTCAGTTCTATTGTTAAAAGACATGCAATCAATTTCAGCTGCTTTTCACTTTTCCGGGACACAATAATCCAAAAGCTGCATGCCTTTGCATCTGCCAACACCTTTTGTGCCTTTCTCAAATATAAGAAGTTATTTTGATTAATCAACAATGCTTTTACTCCACAGCCACGTTCTCATTTATAGCTACTTATGATCAAGCTGCTCTTTCTGACTGTTGTGATCTGTGTCATTTTTGTACACTTAAGCTTTATTTTGGACATGCACAGAGAAATATCGCTCTAAAGGACTTTAGAGGTCTGGACTAAAAAGTAACCTTTATCATAAAACTTTTGGGATTGATTGAGCCTCCATGCTATTGCTGATGGACTTATCAATGCATTTAAAAATGTTTTAACACAAATTTCTTTTCACAGTGTTTATGACCTTGCCTTCAAGCCAGATGGCAGTCAGATTATAATAGCTACAGGGCATCGTGTGCTGGTGAGGATGCTCTTTTATCTTTGCAGCAAAGGAGAGAATGGATCATTATTGTGAATGATCTTTTCTCTTTGCAGGTCTGTGATGCAGCAGATGGAGCCATTATCCAACCTTTAAAAGGACACAAAGACACAGTGTACTGTGTGGCTTATGCCAAGGATGGTACTTGAGTGTTTTTTGGCTTATTTGATCAAGTTTCTAGTATCACTTGTATTTTTTCCCTGTCACTAACGATAGTATTCTTCCCCAGGTAAAAGGTTTGCCTCGGGATCAGCTGACAAAAGCATCATCATCTGGACATCTAAACTTGAGGGTATTTTAAAATATACGTAAGTGTCATTCCTGTAATACAAAATAATCCCCATGATTTTTTTTAAATAATAGTGTGTTGGTATTATTTACTTTTCTAAGATCTCTATACCCACAAAATAAATGGTTTGAATACAGTAATATATTGAGAAGTTTTCTGAAAATAATTAAAAAAATCTGTGATTTATGTATTAAATTGTGCTGTAACAGAAACAGTTTTCAGTGTCATCACTGACTAAACCCATGACTGATTTGAGAAAATACAAACAAATCGCAAATTCCACGCCAGCAACACACCTCAAACTACAGGTTGAAGGGAGACGAAGAGAGTGTTTTACAGAAGTTTTCTGGAAGAAGCTAGCATCCCATCTAACAACCAGTTTATCATTACCAACAACCATCACTCAATGCTTTAGGTCAAACTCTATCAGAGGGTCATTGAGTTTTTTAGAAATAGCTCTCAATATGATTTTTCAAGAGCTGAGGGGTTTTTCTTTTAGCAATAACAGTGAATAATCTGGTGGAGAAATCTGAATGTAGAGGCCAAGGTTGGAAACTGCTGTCAGATGGACCAGTGAGCCCTAGGGAGTAAAACCGTTATCAGTATTTCCTCTGGAGGGTCACTTGGAAAAAGCATTGTTACTCAGATCATGATGCCCTTTACAGCCAGAAACACAATTAGTTATTTTATTCAGCAAGAAGAAGAAATATAATCATTCTGTTCAAAATCAGCACCCAATCCTCTGACGGCGTTCACATGTTCGACATCTGCTGATGAGGTTATTTTTTGGCTTGCTTGTTATAAGAAAAGGGACTGTGGGTTCTATGTGCCGAACAAGTAAAATAACCATTTAGTCTGTCATCAGGAAAAGGTGCAAAGCCCAAAGACTGTGATCATATGAGTGTGCTGTGTATTTCTGTAAAGGTGATACTGATGCAAAAGTAGAATTTCGTGCAGAAGACGTGCACCAGCAGCATCAGGGCAAAGTCTTACTGGGACTTCTGGTGTTATTTCACACCAACTCTCATTCTGCATGACTTACACCAGTGTGGCTTCTGAGGGGCGTGTGCCGGACTGTTCCGTTCTCTGCCTCCTATTAAAAATGTATGGCACATCCCGGAGAGGTGAATCAGATGTGATGACCACGGACTGTTGAGCAGCTGAGATCTTCTACTCTGCTAGACACGACACACATTTATCCTGCAAAACTGCAACAGTTGCAATGATCAACTATACCCAGCATTCACTTAATTAAAAATAGAAGATTTTTTTAAGTCAGTGTCCTGCCAGCAAATGAAAATCTACATTAGTTCATTTTCTTCTAAATATGTTTAAATTTTAAACATGTTTAATTATTCTAAAAATGTAGAATATTTTCTTAGTATTTTGTGAAAACAAAAGCAAACAACTTGCTAAATTACATATTTTTGCTGCATTTCAGACATCTTCCCAGCATTTCTGTAAAATATTACTGTTTAACACTATTTTCCTATTTTTGTCCTAATTTGCAGTCACAATGATTCCATCCAGTGTGTTGCTTACAACCCGATCACTCACCAACTTGCCTCCTGTTCATCTGGTGACTTTGGTGAGCGTACACCTTTTTTTTTAAATCTGCACCAGACTCTTAAATATTCTGCATAATGCACTTTAAATGCAACCTGGTGAACTGAATGCTGTTGCATTGCCTTTTAGGCCTGTGGTCTCCTGAGCAAAAATCCGTTAATAAACATAAAGTCAGCAGCAAAGTAACATGTTGTGGGTAAGTTACTGTAATATTCTGCTCTAGCGAGTTTTTCTGCAGTGCATCCATGTCTGTTGTGGCTGCAGGTGGACAAACGATGGGCAGTACCTTGCACTTGGCATGATGAATGGGGTGGTGAGCATACGTAACAAGAATGGAGAGGAGAAGGTCAAAATAGAACGTCCTGGAGGCTCCTCCTCTCCTATATGGTCCATAGCGTGGAATCCCTCCAAGTATGTTGGTCATTAATATTAATATTATTATAAAATCATGTTACTGAAGCCAAATACAAATGCTTTTTTTCATGAAGATGTTATATGTTGTACTACTGCCCATACGTCTATGTGATCTTAGGTCATGTTTTCATGCAGCCAGCAGGTGGCAGTAGTTGACATGGGAGAGGATGCTACCCTCCAAGGCAGGGGTGGGGAACTCTGGTCCATCAAGGGCCGCTATCTAGCATATTTTAGTTTCAACCCTGCTTCAACACACCTGATTTCAACAGCAGGTGATTAACAGGTTTCTGCAGAGCTTGATGAGCTGCTGAACAGGTGAATCAACCACTGAACCAGAAGTGTTGGAGCAAAGACATACAGGAACCGGCCCTCGAGGACCTGGGTTCCCCACGCCTGCTCTAAGGCAAAGTCAGGAGCACTGCTGTAGCTGTTATAGTGGCCCATCTAAAATGTTGTTTAAAGAATAAGAAAGAATTAAGAAAATCTAAAAAGGAGGATAAGTAACTTAAAATTGGCAGCAAGTTATCAAGAAGATGCTTCATCAGTTATTATCAGTCGAGTCAGAGCGTGGTGTCGGGCTGGGGAAAGGGCTGTCTGAGCTGCTTGGGATTGGGTTTCCTGTGAATGAATGAAGGTGTGTTGTGACATTTTTGACAGGGTGAATGGGTATGCGGGCCTTCCTGTCATTCAATACTCTGTCTTGAGTTGACATACAATTAAAACCTATCAGAATGAAAACATAAAGCTCTGTCACTTCCAGCGGAAAACGTCTCAGTCGTAAAGAGGGTTGGCCACTCTGGTTTCCTCTGGCATTTTCACTTAAACAGCCAAAGACCCCATCAGCACAGACGGTTGTCTTGAGCACTTAAGTCTGTGGTCTTTTCATTTCGCAGGGATGAACACAGTGACATTCTGGCGGTGGCAGACTGGGGTCAAAAGCTCTCTTTCTACCAGCTCAGTGGAAAGCAGGTGAATAAATCAGAAATCCATGTGGAGAGTCTCAAAACTAGCATATTACTCTTATTTCAGATATCACAGCAACTGCACTGTGTTGTTTTTGGTCATGCTTAATGTTTCAGATCAACTAACAAATTTCAATATCAGACCTAGATAAAATTATCAGGTACAAAATAAATTTTTCACATAACGATTTCACCTATTGAGAACAACAACAGCTAACCAAACCAACCAGGCTCTTGTCAAGTCATGGATTAATTGTGATTAACCTTATAAATTAGGGCTGGACAATATATCGGCATCAATATCGGTATCGGCAGATGGTAGTCATTTTTTTAGCATGTTGGTATCGGTTCGATAAATAAAACCGGGCCAATATTAACAACCGATATTTTTTCCATCTCATCTCCATTTGTTTGCCTGTTTCAGAGGGTGAGGGGGTGATGTGTGATTTTTTTATTCATGTGAACAGTGAATGAAATATTCTCAGAACCGTAAATGTGTGTGTTGTGTGTACAAAATAATGCAAATTCAGCATCAGTAATTTTCATTCAATACAAGATCTGCTGATTTTAGAAGCATTAATGTCAGTTTATTGGCAAATATCGATAATATCGCCATAACAGTGATCTTAATATCGGTATCGGTCCAAGAATTTCATATCGGTGCATCACTATTATAAATATTAGCCCACACAGTAGAATCAAGAAATCACTTCAATAGAACTTGTCTGACATCATGAAATATGCTAAAAGACCTTAAAAAGCAACACATTCTGTCTTCAAATTCCCTTTTTCGTTCTTTTTTAAACACAGATGAGGTTTTTCTTTATCTTGCTGACGTTTCGTTTGCGGAAGTGACGCCACCATCAGCGTCAGCTCTGAGGATGTTTGCAGCCGCAAACGAAACGTCAGCAAGGTAAAGAAAAACCTCATCTGTGTTTAAAAAAGAACCAAAAATGGAATTTGAAGACAAACACAGCAAGAACGTACAAAAGAGATTCTGTCTTGCTTTGAAGAAATTCATAAAGTAAAGAACCCCAAACAAAATCTAAAGAAAGGTCTTTAAGGTGAAATAATGATGTGAAAACTACATTTTGTCTGATGTTAAAATGTATTTGCTGCTCTCGGAGCAAACATGTTTTCACATCACCATATGTCCATAAGAACACATAACATTTAACAGATTAAAGGCAGACTGTCATTATGGAAAAACTTAGATTTTAACTCTCATTGTGCAATAACTTGCATTATATTACTAAAAGTAATATTGTGTTAAATACACTAATGTAACACATTAACTGAGCTATGGATCTGTTTCCTGTTGGATGCATTTAAATCATAACAGGTTATTATAAGTAATCATGTGATGCACACCAAGAAAAAAGCAATACACATTTTTAGGGAATTCTTTTCTTCAACTAGGACAATAAGAGACATAATGTGATGTAAGGCGTTAATGAAGTCATTTTAATAACAATATACAGTAACAATAATTACATTTTTAGTCAAACATTGCCATATTTAATCATACTGGGTGTGCACCGTCACTTAAACATGCTTCAGTAAGCCTTGAAGACTAAATTTGCTCCACTAAATGGTTGACCAGGACCTGAAAGGGTTAACGACAGCTCTTTCTTCTATTCTCTTTAGACAATACTGTCATTGTAGAAAAATATTCACTGTTTATGTCTCTGTTTGAATGAATTATGCTTGTGTGTGTTCTCATCTGCTCATTTCTCATTTTAAACGGCCGTCGTGTTTTGATTACAACTCCAGGGATTGTTCACGATGACAGAGAAATAGCTGGAGATTTGTCAAGGAGGCTTTTTTGTGCACAGTGAGGAAAAACAGATGGACAGGACCGGGTGACCTGATGTTGCGCAAATGGACTTTGAACTCTAATACAATAGAGGCTTTTAAAACGAGAGAACCCCTTTCTTTTCTGTCTTTCTTTTCATCAGACTCAAAGAGATGGCTGAATGTGCTTTGAAGTGTGTGGCCCAGGCAGTGGGAAGGGTTGGCTCAGGCCCCTGGGCCATTAATATATATATATATATATATATATATAAAAACTGCTTGTTTTATTCCGGTTTTAACGTTCTCTCTTTGTTCTCTCTTAGATTGGAAAAGATCGGATGCTTAACTATGACCCGTGTTGCATCAGCTACTTCTCCAAGGGCGAGTATATAGTGATGGGCGGATCTGACAAACAGGTGTCCCTCTATACTAAAGATGGGGTGAGGCTAGGAGCAGTTGGAGAGCAGACGTCATGGGTGTGGACGTGTCGAGTTAAGCCTGACTCCAACTCAGTGGTGGGTCTGCACTCGTGTGAAGCCACAAGCCTAAAACTCCTCATTATCCACCCTTGAATATAAGCACATGTCATTGTGAGAATATAATGCAAAACATGCAAAAAGCTCCGCTGTAACATTGTGAGTGCCAAAGTTACATTTCTTTTGTTGTTGTGTTAGCACAGCTCCTCCTAAACTACACGGATACACAAGTTATTTCATTTTACGCTAACACTTTTACAGCTTTTCCTCTCACTATATTTAACCGAAAGTGATGAGCCACACAGGAGAGAATTGGTTTCTGGCAGATTCTCTCAGCTCTGCAGTGTAGACGCTTTAACAACAGGAACATTTTCCCACTCCCTCAGTCTTTTCTTAGAGGTGTTAATAGGATGTACCGCTACATTGTTGTCTTTTATCTAGGTGTTGGGCTGCCAGGATGGGACCATCACCTGCTACCAGCTAAACTTCAGCACAGTTCATGGCCTCTACAAGGACCGTTATGCTTACAGAGACAGCATGACCGACGTTATCGTCCAGCACCTCATCACGGAGCAAAAAGGTGCTGTTTTGGACTAGCGGCTCAAGAAGTTTTCAAAATTTCTCCCCAAACACTTGGATTTCTGCCTTTAGGATAAAAATCTGATAGGCTTTGCGAATCATAATTAAAGGGGCATTATGGAAGTTTGACAGCCAAAACATGTATAGAAATAATAAATGTCTTCTTCATACATTCTCCTGCAATGTCCTGGTCCTGTAGAATGAGCCCTGGCATTTTTACTGTGATTGCCTGTTTTTCTGTAAAATCACAGAAAAAGAGAGCTGCTCGGGTCGAGCAGGCTGCTTCATGCGCGTTCACGCTCAGGCATCGACCGTAGCATTTGCTATCAGTAGCTTTAGCAGCAGAGAGACAGACAGTGTGACTTTGTCGCTGTTCCTAACGCCTAGTGACAAAGCTAGCTACATTTCTGAGGACCCTTAGCTACTTTCTTCTAGATATTTCCTGCAAATTAGCAACAAAATAGCCATTTTCACTCCGAACTGTTCTTTGGTTTGATGTTGTTTCAGGTGTCATCAAGGATACAAATGTTACAGATACTATGAATGTTACTAGAGTGTAGCTCACATTGTAAGATGGCGGACTCTCATGCAGAAGACCTGGGTTCGATTCTGGATGTGAACATAGTTTATTTAGAGTTTATTTTTTACATTAATGGTATATTTTTTTACAGTAAGATGCCCAAATTTTTTTTGAGACTCGCCGAATGGCACTGAATTCACAGATAAAAAAGATGTGGGTTCAACTTTCATTTTGGAACAATTTTTCAAGCAAGGGAAGGGAATGATCTGAGCATGCAGGAGGACTGACCCATCTTAAACCTTTGTCGGCTGTGCTGAAGAGAAAGGTACAGAACCAAATTATTTAATTAATTAGCTGCGTGTTCTCCTGTCCTCTGTCCTCCGGGCCACACACACACACACACACACACACACACGGGACTGTCTCAGCTGTTATTTTTGTTAAGGAGTGTGCACGTACAGCATGCATGCCTCGTGCACGAGCCTACTATTGAAGCTGCCGTTACGCTTTTGGCCTGAGGGGGCAATCGCGAGCATAAAATTTCAAAAGTCCGTAAAGTCCCTTTAAAATATAGATGATTTGTTGTGGTTTTTAAATGTAACTATTTATCCTAAAGAAGGTCATCTAGTTTTTGAGAACAAATCTTCCACATTCTTCTTCGTTGGAACAAGCAAATTATAACAAATTTCTAAATTTTCCTTGTATCCGATTTCTTGTATGCATCTGCTCTTACACATTCTGATCTTTCCCCCCAGTGAGAATCAAGTGCCGTGAGCTGGTGAAGAAGATTGCCATCTACAGAAACCGCCTCGCCATCCAGCTCCCTGAGAAGATCACCATCTACGAGCTCTACACAGACGACTCATCCGACATGCGCTACCGCGTCAAGGAGAAAATCTGCAGGAAGTTTGAATGCAACCTGCTGGTGGTCTGCTCCCAACACATCATTCTGTGTCAGGTCAGGCGTTTGTGACTTCCTTTCGTTTGTCATCCTGGCCTGAGCTCTTCAAACCTCAGATGTTTTCTGTAATTTACAGTCATGTACACTTGATTGCGCACGAGTCTGCAGAGATATTAGAACACCAGTAATATGATGAAAGTTCAGCCATGTACTACCGACCTACACAACACAGATGCTCCTGCCCTGTTCCGTCTGCACGTGTCTACTTGTGTGTCAGTGCCTCCCCTTTCTGGATAAAATAAGACCATATGAAGGAAGGAGGCTGGACCAATGTTTTAAAACGTTGTGTGGTATATTGGGGGGGGGGGGGGGGGGGGGTCTGCTTTTCGTCTCTGTATTTGACTGTCTGGTATGGAGAAGCAGCAGCCATAGTACAAGGGTTATTTCCTTTTAAATCCATCTTTTTGTGACAGAAGTGCTTTAGATCTCTCTATTGGGCATGCTCAGGTTTCATACACCAGAGGACGTGCAGACTTTATACGTGCTGCTCCACACGATCAAACAGTCGTTACTTTTATAGGGTTGCTTTCTTACACTGAAATGTTGTTTGCAGAGTCTTAAAAGTACAACATGTTAGAAATCGTTTGACTTATACGAGCTTGTTTTGCCAAGATGAACAGCCTGTGAGACGATATAGGAATACACCTCAATGATTCTGCCGTACTGAATCAGTCAGGGTTTGTATTTGGTGAATAATTACGGTTTCACTTTACCTCCTCTGCTCTGTGCAGGAGAAGAGGCTCCAGTGTCTGTCCTTCACCAGCATCAAGGAAAAAGAATGGGTGATGGAATCTCTGATTCGTTACATCAAGGTGATCGGTGGTCCACCAGGCAGAGAGGGTCTGCTCGTGGGGCTGAAGAATGGCGCTGTGAGTATAGAAATGCATAAAATGGCAGCTGTGCTCCTGGAATCTGAGCATCAATAAAGCTTTTTTCTACGTGATCATGGCTAACCATCCATCTGCTCTCCTATCCTATTCTGCCTTGGGACTGTTTTTGGGATGTAGATCCTGGAGATCTTTGTTGACAACCCCTTTCCCATAACGCTGCTGAAGCTGTCGACGTCCGTTCGCTGCTTAGACATGAGCGCCTCGCGCAATAAACTGGCCGTGGTGGATGAACATAACTCTCTCATGGTCTATGACATTAACAGCAAAGACCTGCTCTTTCAGGTGGGCACGCCGCATGAAACCACATTTAATAGATTTAAAATCCACCTCAGAGACGCAACCGAGAACAAGACACACTTGATAAAGATTTGCTTAAAGCACAGAAACAAACTGATTTACAGACGCACTCCCAGCTCGGTGTTTGTTCTACATCCACCTTATGCACCTTCCAGTTCCCGTATCCCCTTGTGCTTTCCTCGTAGGAGCCTAACGCTAACAGCGTGGCCTGGAACACCCAGTGTGAAGACATGCTGTGCTTCTCTGGGAATGGCTACCTCAACATCAAGGCGAGCAACTTTCCAGTTCACCAACAGAAGATGCAAGGCTTCATGGTCGGCTACAACGGCTCTAAGATATTCTGCCTCCACGTTTACTCGATGTCTGCCATCGAGGTGCCACAGGTGGGCTGTGTATCGTCTGCCTGGTGTAATAGAGATCATGCTGATGCTCCATTTTGCTCTTTCTCGCTGTAGTCAGCAATCTTAAATATATCTGCATTCATTTGCACAAAAAAGACTAATTATTCATCTGGAAGTTTGTTCTAGTAAACGAGACAAGATGTAATTTATTTCCTACCTCTTGTTGATTGATTTCTGTAATACTTTTTACATTTGTTTGCTCTGCCCAGTCGGCACCCATGTACCAGTATCTGGAAAGGAAGCTGTTTAAGGCGGCCTACCAGATCGCCTGTCTCGGTGTGACGGAGAGTGACTGGAAGGATTTGGCCACAGAAGCTCTGGAGGGACTTGACTTCGAAACTGACAAAAAGGTCAGTCGGATGCACACACTGTTGCCATTAAATCACTTTTATAGTTTCATTAAAATCAAACACTAAAATCCGACTAAATAAACAACTCAACCATGTTTTTTTTTGTATTTAAATACATCCATAAATGTGTTTAAATGCCTCCAAGTGCTGCAGATTCTCTGGTTTTACTCGGATGAAAGACTTTCCTCGTGTGCTTTGCTAACGTTCTGCTGCAGCAGCTGAGAGCACTTGTAACATCTGTAACATATCAGCACCACTGACCTATTGTTACTACTCTAGTGTTTAGAATTTCCAGTTTTGTTTTAACAGAAGAAAAAGTCTTTTTCTCTGTCTGCCCTGGCGTCTCAGACACTTTCCTGCTTTAGTAATAAGGGGATTCATTTCATGTGAAAATGTCCGAGGGGATATATTTTTCTCTTTATGGTCCAGTTTAGCTGTTTGGTGCTTTCACATAAAGAGCAGTGAGCTCTGCATTTTGCTTCCAAACCCATTCATGTTTATGTGCTTCATGGCAGCAGAACGCTGTTTGTGTGTTAAATTATCTTTAAGTTGAGTCCAACACACTTTATGATTCCTTAACTCAGCAAGACCAATCACACAAACCTGTGGAGACCAATCCATTACCGAGGATCTGTGACTCTTCCCAGCGCGTTGTCAGGGTGTCTCATTCATCCGTCCTCAGCTGAGCCTGGAGGCAGCTGTCGTAATGCACAGCTCCTCTCCTAACTCCAGCACCTTCTAATCAGCTGACCACCCCGTCCTCCCCTCTGGTAAACTTCATGCCGAGGCTTTTCTCTGACACTCTGACAAATGCTTCCTGTATTCAAGCCTGCAGTTGGAAAATAGTGCCCCTTCCTTGATAACATATCCCAGCAACTAGCTCCAAACGCGGATGCAATCGGTGCTTGTGAGTAACTCACCAGTGTCCTGTGCTCTCCTTGCAAGACGAGCGGCCTGAAACACTGTTAGACATTTTACTTCTATGCAGAGTCTGAGGAGATTATTAAGCTGGAAACAACAAAGAATTAGGTTAATGACTCTTTAAGAAGCAGGCAATGTAAAGAAACCACTTCAGCGACACATGAAATAACTTGTCGTCCATTTATTTTTCAGGCCTTCATTAGAATCAGAGATCTGCGCTACTTGGAGCTGATCAACAGCATCGAGGTATTATAATGATTTTGACCATCTCACTCACTTCTTATGTTACTCCCCTCCTCTTCACAGCGACTTTCACCTTCAGAGGGTTAACGCCTACTCATCAGGAAAGAACGGATACTTCAGGACTTGTCTTGATTTGGTTATTTCTGTTCTGACGCAATCAAAGAGCCGATCACAATTATTATTATTATCTTCACACGTTATTGCTGAGTTGCTTGTTACTGACTAAACTACTGTACATTATTAAGGTGGAACCTGCATCCTGATGAACCCTCTTTGATTTAAGTCATGCACGCACACACACACATGCACACATGCACGCACGCACGCACACACACACACACACAGGTAAACACACTCTCTCACCACTTGGATGCTGGGAAAAAGACCATCTGTTTGAACAGATTCTGCTGCGTTTCTCATCAAATTGAATTGATCTTAGAAAATCTGATTGTGTGAGTTAAAAAAAGGAAACATTTGTTTCGTTGGAAAAGTAAAGTGATGTTTTTGTCAAAAGTTCTTGTAGATCATTTAAGTGAAAGTTTAACAACGAGCTTTTATTAAGTCCTGCTTGCCAATACTATTTTACAGCTCAGTGTGTTTGACTCAGTTGGTGTGTTTGTGAGCTCACATTCTCTACTGTTGTCCAAGTGTGAGTGTGTGTGTTTGTGTGTGTAACATGTAAGGGACTGTTTTATTTGTGCACACATGCCAGGTTTCTGTTGACTGATTTGCAGGAGAGGAAGAAGCGGGGTGAGAACGACAATGAGCTGTTCCTGGCAGACGTCTATGCCTTCCAGGGGAAATTCCACCAGGCAGCCAAGCTCTACAAACGCACTGGACACGAAGCCATCGCCCTGAGCATGTACACTGACCTGCGCATGTTCGAGTACGCTAAGGTGATGGAGTCAGAAAAGAAAACACAAACTTACTTGCGAAACACTATTAGCAATGCAAACAAAAAGAGCCAGGAAGCTCTGCATGTGTTCTGGCTTTGGAACATGTGTTTTCCTTCATCGTGTTCGGCTATGCCAAGCTGGGGCCCCTTTACTGCATTCAGACAGCCTCACTTAGCCGTCTGTCTTTCATCTCCTCATACATCACCGGATTCTCCACATATATCAGCTAATAAATACGCAGATGCTGCGTTCTTCCACGTACCCGCCTGCACAACTTACTTTGGTGCTGTTGGAGTTTGATCTGGACCACAAATGTAGAGAATTAGATCAAACTTTTGCCATTACATAAAGACTTTAATGAAGAAGTCAGTTGGAGCTGAAACTAATTCATACTCTTTTATGTTTGTACTTGGGGGGGGGGGGGGGGGGGGGGGGGCAGTTGTTTTGATCATAAGCACAACGCTCACCGCTGGAGCAGATGACACGGCTATGACTCGTTCATGTATATTTCCGTGTGTGTTATCAGATTGTGTGTATGTGATGTTGTGGCTGTGTGGCCATCTGGCCGTGCGGCCTGTTTGTTTTAGGTAGGAAGGACACCGCAGGAACGGGCAATCTGTGTGTGACTGTCTTCCTCTATCTGATCCGGAATTCTGTTCAGCTTCCCTCAAATTATTATTGCTGTTCCTTTTGGGACGTTGATGTTCAAATAAAATGGGGTTAAAGGTTCAAAGGTTCTCACATACATGCTATTACACAGGCCAACAATTACAGAAGGTTAGTAAAGTGTGTATTTTTGGGTTTTGTAATGATTTTTAAGTTACTGAAAAACAAAAAATAATAAACATTGAGTCGTCTGATATCAGTTCAGCTCCCTTTTCAGCCTTTTACTTTCTGTTTTGTCACAGCAAACACAAACTGTCATTTATTGCACAACCTAAATGAAGATTTAAACTTTTAAATGCTCTGTCAGTGACTGACTTCCTGTTTGCAGGAGTTTGTTGGGGCTACAGATCCTAAGAGCTCTCGCTTGTTGATGACTAAGCAGGCCGACTGGGCCAAAAGCAGCAGGGCGCCGCGAGCAGCAGCTGAGATGTACCTGTCAGCGGGCGAATCTTTGAAAGCTATAGACATCATCGGGGAGCATGGCTGGGCGGACATGTAAGTGTCTCTCACTGTATCCAATAACCCGGATTGATTTTAGGCCTTCTGATGTATTGTTCTTCCTGTTTGGTGTTTTTGTTACTGCCTGCTGAGATTTGTGTATGTGATTCATAAAGAGGTGCTGTGGAACCAAAGGATGCTGGGACTCCCTGTGGATATCTGGCCGAACCCCCTCTGAGAACGGCAAATATTCAGACACTTCTTCCCCCTGTTTTCATTCACATGGTTGTTTGAAGGCTAAAGTGAAACAGCAGCTGCCTGGCAGTTGGAAAACAAGCCAAGATCGTGTAGATTTCCCTCATATGAGATCAGTAAAGCATGCACTCACCTGGTGGTTCATGTTTCTGTGTAAGATATCCTTTTGGAGGTTTATTGTTCACTTTGAGGTAATATTTTATCAGTGTTTAAACTAAGATAGTGTAAGGGTGCTTCATAATGCTGCTGTCACACGTGCTGCTTGTCTTGTGGTGAGAAAATCTCCTGGAAACATTTGAAAGGAACTATTCTATTGCAGCTATTGATGAGTTGAAAGACAACTTTTTATCTAAAATTGTGGCCATTTTGAAATGTCTTTTTTGTGTGAAAATTATAATTGATTACTTTCTTACAGCTTCCTGAATGGCCTGATATACTTTTTAATCACAATTGCCTATTTTTGCTCATTTTAATATAGTTTTAAACATTTTCTAAATGCTTTTTTATATTTTTACATTTTTTTTTGCGAAGCGCCTTAGAAATGATATCTTCTTCTTCTTCTTCTTCTTCTTCTTCTTCTTCTTCTTCTTCTTCTTCTTCTTCTTCTTCTTCTTCTTCTTCTTCTTCTTCTTCTTCTTCTTCTTCTTCTTCTTCTTCTTCTTCTCCTCTCCTCCTCCTCCTCCTCCTCCTCCTCCTCCTCCTCCTCCTCTCCTCCTCCTGAGGAATTGTGTTTACATTTGACAGGACCGATAAGCTAATGGCTAGATTGAATGCAGCCAAGGCCAAAGTGCACTACGGCTGTCTTAAACCACGACACTGCTGTCACTTTTGGTTATTTTGGCAGAGATATGAATGCATTCCTGCCAGCCTTGGCCTGTAGGTTCGGCTGTTTGGGACATTAAAGGTGCAGTATGTAAGAATATAGTGAGATTTTTACTATGAGAAAATCCCAAAAGAGTCTAATGTTTCAGTCATTTTGGAAGGAAGGTTATACTGAAACATGTTTCATGTCCAGCTGGCAATAGGGGTTGTCAGTTTTTCTCCTTTCAAAACAAAGGAAGGAGGGACGGAACTACTGTTTACCATCAGTTGAGCGTGGGGTTGTCGTGTCTTCTGTGATAGCACCGACAACTGTAATTTGACGATGGCTGACCAAAAGCTCCAGAGTTGTTTAAAGTGGTTGCAGTAACCACATTTTACCACAGGATGTTATTTTTACTTGTTTTCTACATATTGCACCTTTAATGGTTGTAATAATGTAATTCACCACGAGTAAAGGCTTACAGAACAATATTTGCTTGAACTTCAATTAAATTTTGGAGTTTTAAAATGGAAGCTCATACAGGTTTTCTGAACTTTTTGTTTTCATTTCACATTTATTTTTTATTTTACTAGTCATTTTATTTAGTTTTCTGCTTCACATCGATGCTGCCACTGCAGGGAGTCTGGCCGGATCTTGATCTTGTCCCATCCTCTGTCAGCTGGTGTGAAGACAACCACCTCGACTTCAATGCAACAGAAACGGGGGAGATAATTATTGATATTTAGGAAAATAAATCGCTGTTATGTGGCAGACGGTCATGGTGAAATTGTTGGAATTGTTGAGTTTTACATGTATTTGGTAACTTTTTTGGACTCCACACTCAAGTTTGATTTAAGCACAGATGATTATGAAAAGAGGTCAACAATGCATTGCATCTACCTGCTGAAGAATGTCCTGGAGTCATTTTAATCAAACTCCTTTATCCCTTCACCATCAGACTTCTAAATGTGACTAAATAATCCTGATCTCTCGCTTGTCCCATAACTGGCCCATGCTGGAGTGTGTTCGGTGTTGCTTTGACTGGTGTGTATTTAAACCTTACTTTAAACACATGTGAGGCTTTAAACAGAATAGCCCAACTGGGGAAAATAAAGCTGTTTTATTTATTCACAAATGCAGCCGAGGCGTTTCAGAAATCCCAACAGGGAGGATCTTTTCTAACGTTCATACAGAAACTTGCTAGCCTGGCTAACCATAGGATGCCAGCATCTAACCCACCAGAGGCACATCCTTAGCAGACATCTGTGTCACGTGCACATGGCGCCAAAACGTTAACATTCAGATCTTATCACAAACGTTAAAATTTCAGACTCACCGGGGCAAAGATAATAAAGCTGAAAGGGAACTCGTGAGCAACCTTTTCAGTTACGTTTTGCGTATTGTGTCTATGCAAATGAATGTTTTGTTCTGGTTTTTTCCCGCTGCTTCTGCCTGACCCAGCCTGGTGTAAACCTTCTACTGTGCTTTAGGAGCCTCTAGATTCAGCCTGTGACCCTGACTGATTCACGTTCTCTTTGGCGTCACAACGAGCTTGGCGCCACTACAGGAGACACCAAACTGATTGGTTATCTTCCCTTGGCCCATCCATGTTATTATTCCTCCCTTCTTTTGCAGGCTTATCGACGTTGCTCGTAAGTTAGACAAGGCTGAGCGTGAAGCCCTGGCAAAATGTGCCGTCCACTTCAAGAGGCTGAAACACCACGGCTATGCCTCCGAGACGTATTCCAAGATGGGAGACTTGAAAGCTTTGGTGGAGCTGCATGTGGAAACCCAACACTGGGAAGAGGTTTGCTGCACACAAGCACACCTCATCTCATTAAGTCAAGAGACAAATACATGACTGTAATGTGATAAATGGCTCTTAATATGCTGCTTTAGCGATAAAAAGGAACACGAATCACAAAATAAACTGAAAAGGCCTAAACATGCAGCTTTTCTGCTGAGAACTCGTCAC